ACACCCCTCCCATACCAGCAAAGAGCTGCTGTACAAACATCCCCATACGACCCACTGAAGCTACCCTGGACCCCTTACCTCCACCTCCAAGTAGCCTTGGCCTCTGTCCTGTTGGGAACATCCTTACAAAAATGCCACTACCTTCATAGAAACTTCCCTAAAGTGGGAGTGGGGAACTAATGCATAGATTTTGCTTTTCCACATGTCGGAAACTGTATATCCATTTCCTTATTCAATCCTCCCAGTTGTAAGGATATAATTATTCCCATTTTATAGATATGAACATTGAGGCTAAGATGTTAACTGATTCACCTAAGCCCTTGCTATTGGAAATCTCAGGTCCATTCCCTGGCTCCAGAGAACATCATGTAATGATGAAGGAGGGATTCATGCTGCTAGATCCCATTGGCAACCATGGCTTCCCCCAGATCCTTCATCTCAGAAGCTCCAGAACCCTCCTTTGGTTTAATTAAGAATCATAGAATCATACTTCTTGGACACAAAAAGAATTCCAATACAGCATGAAGCTCCAGAACCCTCCTTTGGTTTAATTAAGAATCATAGAATCATACTTCTTGGACACAAAAAGAATTCCAATACAGCATGAAGCCCAGTCTCCTGTTTTCCAGGAGGTAACATGATACTCAGATGGTATAGTACTTTCCCAGGGCTGCCATAACGAATTACCATACATTTGGCGGCTTAAAACAACCGAAATTTATTCTCTCACAGGTCTGGAGGCTAGAGGTCTGAAGTCAAGTTGGCAGGGCCATGCTCCCTCCAAAGGCTCTGAGGAAGAATCCTTCCTTGCCTCTTTCTAGCTTCTGGTGTTTTCCAGCAATCCTTGGCATTACTTGACTTATAGCTACATCATTCCAAAGTCTGCCTCTGTCTCCAAATGGCCATCTTCCCTCTGTGTGTGTCTATGTCTTTGTGTCTGAATCTTCTTCTCCTTTCTCTTATAAATAAAGATGCCAGTTATTGGATTTAGGGTCTACTCTAATCCAGTATGACCTCATCTTAACTGGATTGTATCTGCAAAGACCCTATTTCCAAATAAGGTCACACTCTGAGATTCCTGGGGGACATGAACTTTGGGAGGACGCTATTCAGCCCAGCACAGATGGTGTAGCATGATGGTTAGGAGGGTGAATTCAGCAGTCAGGCTCCCTGAGACTTTAATCCCAGATCTGCCACTTATTCACTCTGTGACCTAGAAAATCTCTTAACCTCCCTGAATCTCAGTATCCTCATCTGTAAAATAGGGATAATAATAGTACCTACCTCATAGGCTGGTTGGGAGGAGCCACTAAGATAATTCATGCACAGAACTTAACCCAATGCCTGGCACTCAGCAAGCGCTCAGACATTAGCTGCTCTCCCCACCTCTTACTACTTAGGAGTACAGGCTCTGCGGTCAGGCTGCTGGGGTGAAATCCTTGATCTATCGCTTTCAAGTGCAGAAAGATGGACAAGTTACTTACCCTCTCTGAGCCTTAATTTCCTCATGAATAGAACAGAGATAATCATTGTATGTATATACGTCATGGGTCATGGTAAGCAGCACAGGAAGTAATTCAGATAAGGAATTTAAGAATATCTTGCATGTAGCAAGTTCCCAATAAATCGTAGCTATTATGATATTGATGTTTCCAATTTAAATCCATATGATATTATGTAATCATCCATGCCCTAGGAACAGGCTCAGCAGAGGGGTCCTGGGATTCTGGCAGGGAAAGGCTAGAGCTTGGTGGCCATCAAGGAAATTGACTTTTCCCCAAAAGGGAGGGACCCAGAAGGCCTGATATACTGAGACCAGGTTTCTCTGTCCTTGGCAGTGATCCAAGAGGCTGAACCCCTCTCCTCTTCACCTTTGTGGTTGGCTCACACCCGGTGGAGACACGACTGATGTAGGGGCATCCTCTAGCTTCTGGGCTGAGCTCCCCACCCCGCCCCCCAACACACACACACTCCTACCAGTCTCCAGCTTCCGGATGAAGGTGACTTAGGAGATCTGGGGGTGGAGAATGGCTGGGGAGCCGGGGGCGGAGAAGCAGCATGAAGCTCATTAGTAACTGACTACTCTGGTGGAACAGACCTCTCCCGGGGGCCATAACTCTGTCCCTGGAAGAAAGAATGATGATTGGGGGAGGTGGCTGAGGCTCCTGCAGCCCACATCTGGGGCTGGGCAGTGAGAGTAAAGCTGAGTCCCTGCCTTCTCTAAAACCCCAGCATATCCATGGAAAAAAGAAGAGCTTCAGCATGAAGACGGAAGGGGTGGAGGGAGTTTGAAAGGAAGCTGAAAAGCGTGTGACAGGGCTTCCTGTAAGTAGGCAGCAGCTATACTGACACAGTGCATGAACTGTCGCCATCAAGGAGATATTCTCAGTCTTGAAGAGGCAGCATGGTGCAGAGGAAAGCTCATGAGCTTTGGAGCCAGGTTCGCTCGGATTTTATTGGGTGCCCACACTTCTGGGTGATCTTGGATAACTCAGTCTCTTTAAGCCTTAGGTTCCAAGTTCGTAAAATGGAAATATCTATTTTTTAGCACTGTCATAAAGACTAAATGATTTAACTTATACCAATCTAATTAGTACTGGCTCATCAAACTCAGCTCAGCTGTCCCCTCTCTCAGGATGCCTTCCCTGACAAGCCTTGGTTAGATGTCCCTGTCTAATGCCCTACCAAGCCCTTGCACATCCCTGTGCCATAACACAAATCCTTTGTTGTGGAATTATAATTTCATGTTGACTTGTCTGTCTCCCAACTATGCTCTGAGCTCCCTGAGGACACAGAATGTCTTGTTCATTTTGGCATTCTCAGTGCCCAGCATAATTCCTGCCACAAACTGAGTGAATGGATGAATGAACGAGTCTAGCTGGGTAGAAATAAGTCTAGTTAGCTAGGTTTTTAGGCTACTATTATAATCAAAGCACTCAAGAAGGCACAATGGAGGGATATACTGATGAATGATTTTCTTTCTCTCCTAGAGTAACTTTAATACATGTGTAGTAAGAAAAATTTGTGATGGATGTAAGAACCAATAAATAAGGAAATGCTGCTATGTGCCAGGCACTATGCTCTGCATTTTGCCTTAATCATGAAATTATTACCAGCAAGCTGTCATTGTCCTCATTGGGCACACGAGAAAACTGAGGCTCAGAGAGGTAAATTAACTTGTCCAAGGTCACAAAGCCAATAAGTAGCAGAGACATAGAACCAAAACCTGATATGCCTGGCTACCTGGCTTATGCTCTTTCCTTCAAATGCAAAATTGAGGCTGTTTGAAAATGGGTAGCTCCAAAAGAAAAAAGGGGGTAAAGGCAGGAATAGAATTTTCTGGAGTGTATTAGATTAAAACCCCATGTAGCATCTTGCCTTTTCTTTTTTAGCCATGCACTGACTAAGAAAACGCCAGATAAAGCATTTTGGACACCAGGGTATCAGGGGGCCCCTGATGAATTAAAATCCTATTTGTCAGGGACAGATTTTCTTCTAGTTCTGATTATAATGAAAGTGACTTTGTGGTCATAGGAGTCTCAGAAGGGCCTGGGGCTGTAAGGATGCAGAAAGAAGAAGAGGGAAGAAAAATGTCCTTTTGCTTTTCTCAGAAGGAAAATATTGCCTAGATATTGTAAATTGCCCAAAGTTGAAGGGAAAAATGCCTTGCTGTGGGCTGTGGAAAAATTCAAGCATCACTTGAGCAAAGGCAATCCATTGTTTATGGAGCCTTTATTAGGTGCCGGGGGCTGTACATGTATTATCTCTTTGACTTCTTACAAGACTACCCCATTTTACAGATGAGTATAATGAGGCATGCTGCGTGTGGATCACTGTGATGCATATCCAAGCTCATCTGGCTACAAAGGGCACTTGCCCCTGTAGGAACAACACAGCGGTTGGAATCTTTGCCACTGAAATAAGGTAGAAGTGTAGATATTGAGACTCAAATTCTGACCTAGCATAAATACAAGTTTTGTTTTGTTTCATTTTATACTGAATTACCCAAGTATTAATTCTAGACTGCCTACATCCCACCTCTCCCTCTCACATTTCTTCTGGCCTAAGAACAGCCCTGATTTTAGGATCCTCGTGATGCCCAAGCAACAATGACAAATAAAACACCACCCCAAGGAAATAATTAAAAACATACATAAAGATTTAACCACAAGGTTGTTCATCACCGAACTATTTATAACATCAAAAAAATAAATAAAAGGAAGCTCCCCAAACACCCAAAAGTAGGCAATTGAACTAACAAACTATGGCGCAGTCATTATACGTGGAATTCTATGCAGCAATTAAAAATTATTTGTGTGACAATATCACGTGTTTACAAGACAAGTGTTAGTTTTTAAAAGAAGGTTATAAAACTATATGACCATTGGCATTGTAGGTGGTTTTTAATTCTTTTTGGTTATTAGCATTTTATCAATTTTCTATAATGAATATCTGTTGTTTTTGTAAAAAGCAAAAATAATGAACAGTTATTTATAACACACATCATAAACATTCCAGCCTCAGTCTCCTTCAATTGTAATAATAAAAGGACCGGTTTACACAAACACAAAAGGGAGAAAAGAAGCCCTAAGTCTGTAGAGAAATCTGGTAAGTAATTGGCTCCTTTGTTCAGGAAAGGGGGAGTACCTGTTTTCTGTCTCCTGGAGAGGGGACACGTTTGAATGACGGCAGGCTGGATTTGGGCTGAATATACGGAAGGACCATCCGAATGCACTAGTCATCCAGACACACCATAGAACTAATATTAATATATGATTAATATATGATCTACCCAGTGGATGTTGATAGTCAGCATGGAGAGCCAGACCAAGAAAAGTCATGTCATAATGAGGATGGCAGTACTGGCTACAGCTACAGCTATATGGCATATGTGCCATATGCCTTATATAATTCAACTATAATCATTACATCACACCCATTTAACATATGAGGAAACAGAGGTTAAGTCAGATGCTTAGCAGCACACATCCAGAAAGTAGCAGGGTTGATCTTGGAAGCCAGGTCTGTCTAGCGCTAACACCCCATATCCGTACACTATGCAGATTTCCTTGGCTTCCTCTTCTACCCAAAAATATTCTTCTCACCAAGCTTGCTGCAGTGCCCAGTATTTTTTTAATAAACTTGTTAAATTTTAGAATATTTTTAGATTTATAGAAAAATTGTGACGATAGTACAGAGTTCTCATATAACCCACACCCGGGTTGCTATATTATTAACATCTCACGTTAGCATGTCACAATTAAGGAACTAATATTAATATATGATTAATAATTAACATCTATATATTATCCAGATTTCCTTAGTTTTTACCTAATATCTTTTTTCTGTTTCAGATTCCCAGATTATGTTTATTCGTCAGATCTCCTTAGGCTCCTCTTCACTGAGATATTTCTCAGACTTTCCCTGTTTTTGATTACCTGGACAGTTTTGAGGAATACTATTCAGGTATTTCATAGAATGCCCCTCAGCTGGGATTTGTCTGATGTTTTTTCTCATGATTGGACTGGGGTTATGGGTTTGGGGAGGAAGATCACAGAGGTGAAGTGTCATTCTCATCGCTGCATGTCGAGGGTAGATTCATCAGCATGACTTATCACTGATAATGTTCATCTTGATCACATGGCAAAGATTGTGTTTTTCAGGTTTTTCCACCATACAGCTACTCTTTTCTTCCCCTTTCATAATGTAGTCTTTGGAAGGGAGTCATTTTGCAAAGCCCACATTTAAGGAATGAGGGACACTTGAGGATAGAGTAGACACAAAAATTATTTGGAATTCTGCATGGGAGATTTATCTACATCCCCCTATTTATTTATCTTCTCGTTCATTTATCTAAGTCAGTGTGGACTCATGGATATTTATTTTATACTTTAGGCTATAATCCAATATACATAGGCTATAATCCAATGTACATAAAATTTCTTGCTTTGCTCAAATGGTTCCAGCATTGACCATTGGGAGCACTTGCGATTGGCTCCTGTATCTCTTGGATGTATCCTCATTACTCTGTGTATCTGTGTGTGGTTTCATTTCGGGCACTATGAGAAGCTCCAGTTTCATCTTCTGCATTTCCTGCTTCAGTCTTCAAATCAGACTTTTCTCCAAGGGGCCTGGTAACTTTTACTGTAGAATAGTATTAGAAACCAAGATACAGGCACTACATATGCTTGGTACTACTGCGGTGTCCTTGCTTATAAGGGTCCTCAGCTAACACAGCAAGGAAATATATGTGTGTGTACTACCCAAGTATATACACATATCTATAAATAGTTCTATCTGGAACCATCTGTATCTATATAGTAAGCGAAACAACTGACGTTACCAACTCTAATCCATTGTTCCACGGATCATTTTAGCCTCTTCTCCTTCCTTGTCTGTACCTTCCCCTCCAATAGTAAGAAACCTGGCTCCTACTATCTGCCATCATTTACTTAACAGTAAATGATGTAAGTGTGCATATATAGTGGTTTCAGAATTGCTAACTTGGACGTCCATGGGAAACAACTTTATCAGCTAGAGTACAGTGCTTATGTACAGTTCCTTTTGCCTTAAATCTGATAGACTCCACTCGTTTCCAAAGTTACCTAGGTCAGCACCTTTTCTTCCCCACTCCCTTCAGTGAGGTTGTTTCATGTATTTATAGGACAATTAGATCCTTCTGTCACATTCTGCATTCCATCCTGTGATTCTCTGATCTCCTAAATTATTTTTTAATTTTGTATATATTAAGGTTCACTCTTTGTGCTGTAAAGTTCTATGTGTTTTGACAAATACCTAGGGTCTTATCTCAACCATTAAAGTGTCACATGGAACAGTTTCACCATCCTAAAATATGCCCTGGGTGTCACCTATTTCTCCTCCTCCTAATCCAAATCCCTGGCAACCACTTATCTTTTTACCGTATCTATAGATTTATCTTTTCCAGAACATGATATAAATGGAATCATACAGTATGTAGGTTTTTTTTTAACCGGCTTCCTTCACTCAGCAGTATTAATTCAAGATTCATCCATCTGTTTGAATGGATGGATAGCTCATTCCTTTTTATTGCTGACTAGTATTCCATTATACGGATGTACCACAATTTGTTTATGCATTCACATATTGAAGGACATCTTGGCTGCTATCAGTTTTTTGGCAGTTATCAATAAAGCTACTATAAATATGCACATGCTAGATATTGTGTCGCATAAGTTTTCAAATCAGTTGGGTAAATACCTAGGAGCGAGATTGCTGAAGCATATGGTAAGACTATGCTTAGCTTTGTAAGAAACTGTCAAACTGTCTTCTAAAGTGGTTGTATTAATTTGCATTCCTACCAACAACGAATGAGAGTTCTTATTGCTCAGGATTATTGCCAGAAATTGGTATTGTCAGCTTTTTGGATTGTAGCCATTCTAATAGGTGTGTAGTGGTGTCTCGTTGTTTTAATTTGCATTTCCCTGATGATAAATTATGTTGAGCATCTTTTCATATGCTTGCTTGCCATCTGTATATCTCCTTTGGTAAGGATTTTTCAAATCATTTTCCTGTTTTTAAATTAGTTTGTTTTCTTTTTGTTCAGTTTTTGAGAGTTCTTTGTATATTTTAGAAACAAGTTCAGATATGTGTTTTGCAAATATTTTCTCTCAGGCTGTCGTTTGTCTTTTCTTTCTCTTAAGAACCTCTTAGAGAAAAAGATTTTGATTTTAATAAAGTCCAACTTATCAATTTTTTCTTTCGTGGATCATTCTTTCGCTGTTGTATCTAAAAATTCATCTTCAGAACCAAGGTTATACAGATTTTCTCTTGCTTCTAGAAGTTTTATAATTTTACATTTAAATTTAGGTACATGAGCCATTTTGAGTTAATTTTCCTGGAAGATGGAAGGTCAGTGCCTAGGTCCATCTTTAAATTTTTTTTTTTTTTACATATGGTTGTGCAATTGATCCAGCATCACTTGCTGACAAGGCTATCCTTTCTTCGTTAAATTGCCTTTACAATTTTGTCAAAGATGAGTTGACTATACTTGTGTGGGTCTATTTTAGGGGTCTTTCTCTTCCATCACTCTATGTGTCTGTTTTCTTCCACCAATACCACACTGTCTTGTTAACTGTAGATTTATAATAAGACTTGAAATCAGGTAGTAGAGTCTTCCAACTTTGTACTTCTTCAGTATTATATCAGTTATTCTATGTCTTTTGCCTTTCTATATAAACTTTAGAATAAATTTTGCAATATCTACATAACACTTTGCTGGAATTTTGATTGTGATTGCATTGAATCTATAGATCAAGTTGGGAAAAACTGATATCTTAATAATATTGAATCTTCCAGTCTGTGAACCTGAAATTTCTCTCCATTTATTTAGTTCTGCTTTTATTTCTTTCATAAGTGTTATGTAGTTTCCACATACAGATAATATAGCATATTTTGTTAGATTTATAGTTAATATTTCACTTTGTGGGTGCTATTGTAAATGGCATTTTTTATAGTAAAATTCATGTCTGGTATATAGGGAAGCAATTGATTTTTGTGTATTATTCTTGTATTCTGAAACCTTCCTATCATCACTTATTAGTTCAGGAGATTTTTTTAATAGATTATTTGGGATTTTCTACATAGACAACCATGTCTTCTGATAATAAAGATGGTTTCATTTCTTCATTCCCAATCTGTATACTTTATATTGCTTTTTCTTTCCTAACCACACTAGATGGGACTTCCATTTTGATGCTGAATCTAAGTGGTGAGAGAGAACATTTTTGCCTTGTTCCCATTTTAAGTGGAAAGTGCCCTCTCACCATTAAGTATGATATTGCTATAGGATTTTTGTAGACATCCTTTATTAAGTTGGGGATGTTACCCACTATTCCTAATGTTCTGGAGGTTTTTATCATGAATAGGTGTTGAATTTTTTCAAATGCTTTTTTGGTGTCAATTGGTATGATCATATGATTTTTCTTCTTTAGTCTGTTTATATGGTTGATTACATTGATTTCAAATGTTAGATCCGCCTTACATATCTGGAATTAATCCTGTTGGGTCATAGTATATAATTCTTTTTATATAATGCTGGAATTTATTTGCTAAAATTTGATTGAGGATTTTTACATCTATGATCATGAGAGATATTGGTCTGTAGTTCTCTCTTCTTTTAATGTCTTTATCTGGTTTTGATATTAAGGTAATGCCGGACTCATAGAGCTAGTTTGGAAATATTCCCTCTCCCTCCACAACTAACAACTATTTACTGAAGAGAATGTAGAGAATTGATATTACTTCTTCCTGCAATATTTCGTAGAACTCACCAGTGAAACCATCTGGGCCTGGTGTTTTTTTTTGTTTGTTTGTTTTATTTTAGAAGGTTGTTCAATATTGATTCAATTTCTTTAACAGATACAGGAATATTCAGGTTGTATATTTCTTTTTGTGTGAGTTTTTGGTACTTTTTGTCTTTCAATAGATTGACCTATTTCATCTAAGTTATCAAACTTTGGCCATAAACTTTTTCATAATATTCATTTATTCTTCATATCATGTTCATGGAATCAATAGTAATGACCCCTCCTTCATTTCTGATATTGGCAAATTATGCCTCCTTTCTGTTTTTACTGGTTAGCCTGGCTAGAAGTTTATCAATTTTATTGATCATTTCAAAGAACCAGCTTTGGGTTTTGTGGATTTTCTTCATTTATTTCCTGTTTTCAATTTCATTGATTTCTTCTCTGATTTTTATTATTGCATTTCTTCTGCTGGCTTTACCCTTGAATTATTCTTTCTCTAGCTTCTGTCTCCCTAGTTACATTAGCTATCTCTTTTTGCATGTTGTATACCTTTTCAATTAGAGCCCTTAACATATTAATCATCGTTATTTTAAATTCCCTGTCTGATAGTTCAAACATCTATGTCATATCTGAGTCTATTCTGATGTTTGCTTTGTCACTTCAGACTGTGTTTTTTGTTAACTTTTGGCACCTCTTGTAATTTTTTTTGTTGAAAGTCAGACATATTGAATTAGGTAACAAAAATTGTGGTAAATAGGCCTTTAGTGTGAGGATTTATGGTAATCTGGCTACGAGTTGGGTTGTGTTTAATGTTTAGTATAGTGTGGCTTCAAATTCCTCTACTGTCCTGTTTTATCTCCCGTCTTAAATTAGGACTTCCTTAAGTACTATTCCTCAGAAAGAATCTGTGTCTTTCAGGTCCTTCATGTGTAATCCCCTGTCATTATACTGTAACCCTGTTGGTGTGGTGATAAGGTGTAGGGGTGGGGGAGCTGTATTAGTTCCCTATTGCTGCTGTAATGAATTAACACAGATTTGGTGGCTTAAAACAACACATATAGAGCCAGGCCCAGTGGCCTAGTGGTTAAGTTCAGCATGCTCCACTTCGGTGGCCCAGGTTCATTTCCCAGGCGTGGAACCACACCACCGTCTATCAGTGGCCGTGCTGTGGCAGCAGCTCACATACAAAATAGAGGCAGATTGACAAAGATGTTAGCTCAGGGTGAATTTTCCTCAGCAAAAAAAAGTGGAAGACTGGCAACAGATGTTAGCGCGGGGTGAATCTTCTTCAGCAAAAAGAAAAAAAAAAAGAAACAAAAACACATATATTCTCTTACAGTTCTGGAGGCCAGAAGTCTGAAATCTGTTTCACTGGGCTAAAGTACAGATATCAGTAGGGCTGGTTTCTTCTGGAGGCTCTAGAGGAGAATCTGTTTACTTGACTTCTAACTTTTGGAGGCCACATGCATTCCTTGGCTGGTGACCCTTTCCTTGAATCACTTCCACCTCTTCCTTCTCTCTTCATATCTCCTGCTTCCTCCTTCAACCATCTTGCCTCCTCTTATAAGGACCTTTGTGATTAGATTTAAGGCCCACCAGGATAGTGTCCCCATCTCAAGATCATTTAACTTAATTATATCTGCAAACCCCTTTTACTGTGTAAGGTAACATATTTATAGGCTCTGGCAATTAGGATATGGATATCTTTTGTGGGTCACTACTCAGCATACCAGAGGAGCATTCTGGAACCTTCTCATTAAATCTCAGTGTTTTACTGAGGCTGTGTCTCAGGGCTATGACTTTCATAGGTGCCTCCCCAGTGCTATAACTTTCTTTTTTCTACCTGCCTTCGATTCCCTTCCCTGGCTGAAGCATTCCCAATCAATTCTCTTGAATCTCAGACTTCAAATGACTATACCCTCTTCCTCCACCCCCTAGGCAAGATAGGAATTCCAGAAGGACTGGAGTAATAGGCATGTCTTTCTCCTTCCCCAACTTGGACTAGGCTCTCACCTGGACCATAGGCCTTTGTTATGGACAGGCTCTGGGTGTATTACATAATGATTACTTATTCATTTCCATCCACCTCCCAGAGAAAAAGGGTTCTTCCCAGATCTTCAAAATGAGAATCTGGTGGGGTTCCTGGAGGTAAAGCCCATAAAAGTGTAGGGGGGGTCCCCTAAGATTGAGGTCCCTAGCATTTTTCACTTCCACGCCAGTCTGTATTCAGCCACCAGCAATTCTCAAAATTATTATTACTGTGTTCTTACCAGTGTATGGCTTGAGCAGCTTTTTGAGGAGGTCAGGCTGTGTTTTTCTGGATGAGACTGTTTCTCCAGATTTCAGAGTGCCAGTTTGCCCTGTGGCCTCAGTTCTCTAATGAGTCCAATAAAAGTAATTGATTTTCAGTTTATCCAGCTTTTTCTTATTGTTGGGATTGAAGTGATTACTTCCAAGCTCTTTATATGTTGGAGCTGAAATCCAGTGTCCAAGATTTTTGCCATTAGAATGTTATTGCTTTGAGCTAAGTCATTGGTATTCCTTAAGTCACTGGATCAGTCATACACCATCTGCGAATGAAGATGAGGAAACCTTCTCACGTCAATTAATAGAGAGGTGGAAGAGAACTTGGCCCCAAACTTCTGCTTTTCAAATGAGAAAATTGATCATCAGTGAGAGGAAGAGAGTTGAGTGAAAACACACACTGAATTCCATCTACACGGGTCATTGAGGTCAGCTTAAAATAGTCTAACTTCTGGGAATATTTAAAAGCAGATTTCCTCGGAATAATTCACTAAAGATGAAATGTCAAACATGCCTTAATTGACTTTACAGCCCAGCACCTAGCAATATGTATCACACAGAACAGGTGCTCAAAAATTGTTTTGCTTTTGTTTTTTTAATGAATCAGTGAGACAAACTAACAAGTCATTGCATGGCCTCTTACATTCAACTCTATAAATAGTCAAGATCTTTTCTGCAATGAACAATAAAACTACAATTAAATATTTTATCACAATTAAAAATTAAAGAAAAAACTACAATTGGATATTGGACAAACCTGGTTACTGGTAAACTCATGCCAGGTGAGTATTTTTTCCTTTTCCTTTCCTTTTACAAGTCACCAGAAGAAATGATATATTTGAAGATCTTCATTATATATTTATATATGAGTTAGCAACT